CATTCTCAGTCTGAACATTCATCGTCGGATAACTGGTTAAGACGGAAACATACTCTGCTACGAATCATGGTACCCGAACCATGTTATCCCCCCTCAACCTGCTACTTAGAATCTCTGGAATTTTCCTTGTCTCGAGTATGGGTCCTCTGCTTTCAGTAGTACGGGCCCATACTACCTGCCACATCTACCCACACTTTCCACACGGATCGTCCCAGATTTCCTAAGTAGCCGCTCAACCTTCTCGATCACCAATCCCATTACACATGTTCGCTCTCCAACGAATACTTACCTCAAAACAGCGTACTCATCAGACTAAAATTACTCCCTAGGCTCTCCTAGTTTCTCACACTTCTCTGCCATGAGCTGCTGAGGAACTCCTTATGACGCAACCATCAACCTCCTGAATATCGTCATATTCACTTAGTAGTTGACTCCCATCATTCAAGAGTTCCACAAAGCACAAAGCAAGCAACATTCGGGCATCGAATAACCTCCACCAACACATAAAACCACTCTAGCATACAACTCCACTTGCTCTACCCACAACTCAAAAGGCATCACCGAACTCAGGCAATCCTACCTCTTGTGGGTATCTAACTACTCTCTCAGTAGATTCCTCAAATGCACATCTAGGTATCTCTCCTATATTACTCCGCTACTCAAAGCTCTCTCTAAAATATTCCTACTAGGTACTCCTACTCAACACATACATAGAGCATATAGCAGATAATGTCAATCATAGCATCCCCTAGGCTAAGGCATCATGAATCAGGCAACTCTAGCTCTAAATTCTTGAAATACCTAGCCTATCCTCTAGCATGCAGCTCTAATATCTCATAAGTATCTCATAATGCAAAGAAGTAATGGTATTTTGGGAAATCACCGTTCGGGCTCTGGCTGATTGTACACACTGCTTCCTCTCGTTTCCTCTTAAAGATCTTACTCGTTTTAGAAAAATCATTTATTTTTAGAAATTTTTCTCAAATCCTCAGTTTGAGTCCAAACATACCTGAGAGTACATCCGAATCCCTCAAACCAAGGCTCTGATACCAACTTGTAACGCTCTAATTTTTCAAATAAAATTTTCATTTTTAAAACCTCACAAAACACAATTTCACATTTCTCAAAATAACATTTATAA